TTAAGATTTTGTTTATCTGTATTTAGAATCCTTTTATGTTTGGATTTAATCATATGGTTTGTTCGTACATTGCATTTGTTTACTGCTTATGAGCGATTAGGTCCAAGTTGGTGATGATAATTAATACGGTAAGTAGTCGATCAATAATAAACCATATTTGATGTAATGGAATCTGTGATATATTTTAGATGAAAGATATGTTGTTTTCTGTTTGTTTTATTCTTATATTTTTATTTGGATTTTCTATTACGTCATGGTCACTCATTACAACAACAGCTCAAGTTAATTGGACCTATACGGACGATGGAAAATTATACAATGCTACGGTTGTTAATGACGGACGTGGATTATGGACATGGCAATATTTACGTGATGTAACAAATTATGGAATATGGAAAGTGTTTGGTCAAATTGATTCCATCGGTATATATGAATATCGATTGATCAATAAAAACAGTCAAAATGTTCTAATAGTTGTTCATTCTAGATGGTAATGACGCTTATAGTGCTGTTGCATGGATATTGGTAATTATTTCTGTTGCTGTATCAAGTGTTCTATTGTTAAATGTTGTAATTGCATTATTCAAGTAAAACAGCTTTCTATTTTATCACTATTAAACTTATTTACTTCATTTCGTTTTTATACATGTATAGTGTGACAATTCAACAAGTAGAAGAAGAATCACATAATCTTTGGCGATACCAACGATTTTTACTTGTTAACAAGTACTCGAATAAAACGCCATTACCACCACTATTCAATGGCTTTTATTACCTTTTTGCAATCCTTCGATATGTGTCTAGACAAATTATTTTATATCGAAATCAGCATCGACATGGTGAATTTATTTAATATTCTTCTTAGAAGATGATAACAATCATATTTCTGTTTATATTTAGTTATGGCAGCTAATAATAAAACACCGTTAGAGGATCTCAAAAGTCAAACAATAGACAATGAGTAAAAACGTGAGAAATAAAGTACAATTCTCAAAAACATTACACCGACGATATGTTTTTGATTTTTTCAATCAACTGTGCTGGTCCAAAGAAGTTTAGGACAACTCAGTTAAAGTTAGACTTCTGGAATAAAAACCCAGAAAACCGAGTCCAAACGAACAAAATTAACCGAAAATCTCAAAAAAAAACAATGAGGATCTGTTGTAAATTAAATGAAGTTTGAGTGAAAAAATGTCGCGAAGGGTTAGAGTACGTCTGATTTTGAGGATGAGAGTCCATCTCATATGATTTCGAATTTTTTTCAAGTGGTTTTTACCACTAACCAATCGCTTCGAAATTTTTCTTGTTCTAATTACTGATTCTATGCAATGTGAAAGTGCCATAGTAGAAGACTTCCGTGCTTATTCCGAGAGTCCGAAATTATGTGAAACCACTCCGCATCCGGTAAGAAAATCCTAACATTTTTTAAAAGAAGAAATGTATCGAGAACTAAATTTGTCTTCTAGGCTCAAAAGCAGCTGAAGCAAATCAGAGGCCTTGTAGTCGATTACCCGATTTATTTTCGAGATGAAGATGATAATTATTTACCCACGATAGGAATCAAAGAAGGACGTGTGCCACTCATTGTTTGGGCTTGAACTACTTACAGAGTAATTCAATTTTTTTCTGTAGTTCTATAAGAAAAAGTTTTGCATTTCGCACTTTAGTTTTTATAATCTATTTATTTCGATGGAAATTCAATTTTATAGTATAGAAAAATATTAGGTGTTTCATTTATCCAGGGAATATCACCGAACAATGTGAATGTTGAACTCAATGGTGTAAACATATGTTGAATATATTATTTGAGTCTGTTTGCGGACGGCTTGATGAATGATAAACTGACATTGCATCAGCACCATTATCGCCCGTTTTTTTGTTTATAGACTAATGACACATGTTTACCTTGACTTTTAGCCATATCAACTAATTGTTGTACTGTTAACCTTTTACTGCAAGAATTTTTTTCTCTTTAAAGAACATTTTTTAAATTTCTATTTGCATGTGGAAAGACAATCACAATAGTCAAGTTTACTCTGTGCAAGCACATCGATGTTCCGCGAAGGAGCATTAAAAGAAAGTATGTGCATCATTCACTTTCGTTCCATCATCGTGTAAACAGAAACAGTGACACTTCGTCATTACCAAAGTTAAAAGTGTTTTTACTTCATTTAATTTTTCAAACAGGTACGTAGAGGTGGTGAGAGGTAGAAGTGAGAAGAGATGACGAAAGGATGTCGGTAAATTGCAACGTGATACTATGTAAAACTCTTTTAATAATCAGCGACGGTTCCAAGTAAGCAAGAACACATTTAGATAACGTCTATTTCTTTATTCGCTCATTGGATTTCTTGTTGAAAGACGAGTAGCTTTGCGGAAGCAATAAGGTATTTGAAGCCAAGACGGCGGAGCTACGTATTTTTGAAGGGAAGCGTGCCGCAAAACTCGTTAAAAGTCCAGTTTACAGGTTATTGCTCATAACTCCGACATTTTTAGCCCGTTCTGTTTGACGTAAATGTCGTTCAAAAAAGCATCCCAAACTACATTAGAGAACATCTTTCATGAGAAAACAAACTGTAAACTCGAGTTTTGAAAGATTATCGTTCGAAGACATTGTCTGTATGAAATCTCGTCCAAACACGCATTGCGCTTGGAAAGTTTAAAACTCCTGCATACAGAAAAGCGTTGATCCTATTTCGTGCAGAATTTCAAAGTCTAAAACGTCCATTCTTTTCTACTTCCAGAAATTAAGAGGCCTTTTTAATAGACTCATGCAACTTGCCTTAAACTCATTTTCTTCGTATCGCAGTTTGTTCATCTTCTCGACTTAGACGCGATTCCAAAAAATCAGAATCTCAGACCTCTTCCTCGCCGAGAACCGATCATTTCACAAATAGGCTGGTGAAGACGGCATCCATATGACCCTCACCTTGTTGTTCGAATTTCTCGGTGGAGAAGGGTCCATCTGAGGTCTAATTTTTGCCAAAAAATAGACGAAATGTTGCTTTACAAAATTAGCAATAAATAAAATTTTAAACCTCCTCCATCATGGATCGGCGCAGTCACCTGCCATCGGGAACGGACTTCGGCGGATCTCGGTGTGCTAACTTGTTGGTACGAAGTGGATGGTCTAAGCTGTTGGAGGAGCTCGACTTGTCTCACAGTTTTTTTGACTCAATGATCCAAAGTTTGATATCACACTCGATGCAAAACTCGGCACTTATCACGAATCTAAAAGAAATTTCCTGAAAAACTCTTATCGGCTGAGTTGCGAGCCATTTGGGCAAAAAAACCGGCCTTAACTTCGACATTTTGGCAGTTTAAGGACTCGCTGGCTTCCTCATATAAACTGTGAGACAAGTCGAGCTGCTCTAACAGCCTAGATCATCCACTTCGTACCAACAAGTTAGCACACCGAGATCCGCCGAAGTCCGTTCTCGATGGCAGGTGACTGCGCCGATCCATGATGGAGGAGGTTTAAAATTTTATTTATTGCTAATTTTGTAAAGCAACATTTCGTCTATTTTTTGGCAAAAATTAGACCTCAGATGGACCCTTCTCCACCGAGAAATTCGAACAACAAGGTGAGGGTCATAGGGAGGTAAGAAAGGCGTGAAATCTTAGTTTTTATGACCAAGAACAGAGTCAAAACAGGATATTTTTCAAAAGTTTCAATCGGTGAAAGTCCGGTCTCTACCGAGTCGGTATTTACATAAATGAAAGTAAAAAAAGTTGGAAAGAATAAGAATACGATAAAATATGTCGTCCGTTTATCTTATTCCTCTGACCATTGATAGCGTATATCTATTCTTACTTTCTCATCTTCTTTAGAACGATAGTTTCAAAATAAGCTATGTAGAGTTCGTTCTCGAATGTCAACAAATAATAGACACATCTTGCGCAGTAGAAAAATCAAGAAAGAGTGAGCTATCTGTATACACAGATAACGTGAATTTCTTCTGTCTAATTAATAGTCATTCCTTCAAACTTTCAAATTCACGATCAAGCAACTATTTACAATAATATGAGTGGTCGCAAATCAAGACGGATTAGGTCCACATCATCAATGAGTTCATCCGTATATTATATGATCAAAAAAAGGGAAGAAAGTAGTGCTCATTCTTATGTATATTTTACTTATATTCAATCAGACTTTGGTGGTTACATACGTAGATCAGAGTCATTTTTTACCCCACTTTTCTGCTTCTTCCGAGTCAATCCAAGAGAAAAAATCCAACAAATGAATCTACTTGAATACTGGAATGTTGCATGAGGTTCCGGAACAGAATATCGTTCAAATGTGAGAGGAAACAAAGAGTACTGATCACACCTTAAAAATAAGAGTGCGATTGCTTCACTTACTAACGTCAAATAGTCCTACTGTCGAATATCAACAAATAGTACTGCGGAATTCGTTTGATCTCTACTGCATGTTCCCCATCAAATCATTAGTGCTGTATGCTATCAATATGATGATGAGAAAGAAAGGATTTTTCTCTCCTCATCCCTCATAAATAATACAACAAAAAAGATTTTTTAATAAAAATACTTAATGTTCGTTTTGTTATCGAAAGAGATCCAAATAAAAGAAAAAAATAATTCTTCAAACAAAAAGTTACTATTTATTGAAATAATTAGATGAACTAGATAAAAGCGAAAATAGACTAATTCTCTGAAATAATACTTAGCGCTGTAATCATTTTCAAAGCCACCAACTAATAACAATTTATTGAATTATTCAAAGTCGCACAAAGTCATATTCATATGTACATTCCTAATATATCGGAAAAAAGTTCGCTGCAACTTTTCTATCGACATAAGTAGAAAAATTTCTGAGAACATTTCTTTTCAATAAATTATACTACAACCCAGGAGAAAAAAGACGGGCAATAAACTGTTCATTAACTGCCAGTTTACAGTCTGCCTAAAAACTGCCAGTTGACAACGTGTTAACTGTCTAAAAACCACCTAAAAACTGTCTAGTTTATTGGCCGTATTTAGGTCTGCAAAAATACCGTCTAATAACTGCCAGTAAACGGAAAAGCCAAAAAAACAGCTAGTTAACTGTGTGGTTAACGGTCCATTGACAGACAGTTAACTGCCTTTTTTTGTTCTTACCGTTTACTGGCCGTTTTTACACAGTAGTTTCTTAAGATCTAAAAAAGACCAATAAATCAGACAGTTTTTAGATGGT